AGACACACACACACACACACACACACACACACACACACACACACACACACACACAGAGTCAGAAGTTTCATGTCTGCACTAAAGGCAGAAGTAGAGAGCCAAGCAGACAAGGCTGCATCTCTGTAGCCCTGTAGAAGGCTGGATAAGAAGGTTTACAGTCTGCAGGCACAGAGCTGTCCGGACAGGAAGCTGTCAAAGGCAGGGCCTGGGGGCAGGCAGTTTGGCGTGTCAGTTGGAAGTGGGCTGTGTGTCATAGGCAGGAGAAACTACATTTGTGCTGGAGCAGGGAACAGACAAGGAGGTTATTTGCTACGACAATTTTCCCAGCCAAGGCTCATGATGAGTGACAGGTGAGAGATGAGCGTCTGCCACACTCTGTCTTAGGATGTCCCTCCTCTCATCATCCCAGCTAAGGGTGGCTACACCATTTTTGGTCTGGAGTATTTGATAAGCTTATGGGCCTGAATTTTCTGGTATGCTTTATTTTCATTTATTTTTGTGTATATAGCTATTTTACTTGCCTATATATGGGAACACCGCTTGTATACAGTGCCTGTGGAGGCTTGGAAGAGGGCATCAGATCCCCTGGAACTGGAGTTACAGATGGTTGTGAGCTGCCATGTGGGTGCTGGAAACCAAACCCAGGTCCTCTGGAAGATTAGCCAGTGCTCTCTCTTCAGACCCTCTGACATGGTTTGATGTTCCTGTGTGCTCATTTGTTAAATTTGTATGTGGTAATACTTTCTTTTTAAGACAGTTTCCAACTCACTCCGTAACCAAGGGTGACCTTTAACTCATGATCCTCCTGCCTCTACCTCCTAGTGCTGGGATTGCAAGTGTGCAATACCACTCCCTGTTTCTGATCTCCTGGGGATGGGAACCAGAGTGCCATGCATGCCAGGCAGGCACTCTATCAATTGACCTTTATCCCTAGCTCCTGGTAAATATGTCATTTATTTGCCTATGCCAGATAGATTGTACTGGATAGTTGGTGGCTGTTTAAGATGCAGAGTCCTGCTGGGTGGTGGCGGTGGTGGTGGCAGTGGCGGCAGCGCATGCCTTTAATCCCAGCACTCAGGAGACAGAGGCAGGTAGATCTCTGAGTTGGTGGCCAGCCTGACTAGGCTACACAGAGAATCCCTGTCTCAAAAAAACAAAAACAAAAACAAAAGCAAATAAACACAAAAAATATTTTGGCAGTTGTAGTCAAAATGGAGAGAAGTACTGTTTTATAAAATGGAGTCACTCGGCAAAGGGCAGCCTGATACCAAGTGTTTTATATAATGTGGAGTGACCTAGAGTAAGGTACAGCCTGACCTCCTCAGGAAAGCACCTTATGGGCCATAGGCAAGCTGTGCCACTAAGGAAGACCATGGGTCCTTTTGCCCAGGGAGGAAGGAAAGGGTAGGAACAATTGAAAACTCAAGAGCCAAGAATGGAGTCAGTCTGCCTCCATGAAACCTGATGAGGGGTGAGACACTGACCGTGGCAGAACACGTTAGAAAGGAAACAGATGTGGGCGCTGAGATTTGGAGTAGGGGCTAGGGCAGGTGGTAGCCAGTATTGCCCGGAAGATGAGGGGTGCTGGGTGGTCCTCAGTAAAGAGGGGCTTTTCCACCGAGAAGGACCAACACAGGTGAACACAGGGAGGAGGATCCATGAGTTCAAGGCAGCAGTGGCCTCTGGGGCTGTCATTGGTGGCAAGGGTTACCAAGGGCCCTCACATTGTTCTCACCAAGGACTGCAAGTGTCCTGATCTTAGCCCAATGCATCCCTCTGAGGAGGATGGCTCAGGAAACACAAGGGGACCCCCACAGGGAGCCAAGAGGCAGCAGGGCTCTGCAAAGTGTCTCCTATCATCTTTCTTTGCAGTTTCCAGTTTCTTTGCAGTTTCCAGTTTCTTTGCAGGAGAGCCAGGAAGCTGAAGAGGGAGAGAGGGGGGGGGGGGAGAGAGAGAGAGAGAGAGAGAGAGAGAGAGAGAGAGAGAGAGAGAGGCTAGAAATCAGGAGGAAGGCCTGGGATTATAAAGGAGGCAGATGGGTTGGGGGAGGAGCAGGAAGCCTGTGACATCACCACACAGCTGTAAAAGTGTTGTAAAGTAACCCAGGAGCTTGCAGGGCTACCACATGGAAAGAAGAGAGGAAGAAAGACCCTGGGGGCAAGCTCTTCCCAGGAGAAGGCTGCTGCAGCTATTAGAGGTGGGCGGCCCCACTTTATGTTTGGAGGAAGCCGGCAGCCACTGCTTCCGTCCAGCTTCTCCCAGCCCACTAGGCAGGGTCAGATCACTGTCCCTGTGGGAGTGGGCTGAATGGCATGCCACCAAAAGGTGTGTCTGGTGACTGCTCCTGGTAAGTGGGCCCTTCTTTGAAGAGACAGGTGGATCTCACCATGACATCTCCCTGAAACCCAGTGGTAGGTGTCCTTTTACAAAGGGAGACGAGGTAAGGTGTAATGAAGCAGAGGCAGCTAGAACGAGGAAGGATCGACCTATCACCTTCAGAGGGGCTTCCCAGAATGCTTTGTTCTCAAACCTGGCTCTGGAACGGCTTAAGCCAACCCACTTTGTAGTGAATTTCTCTGGGAATGAATATGCCAGGACTCCGTTCCCGGGTCATCAGCTGTGAGTGAGCGAGCGAGTGACAGAAACGGAATCTCCTGGATGCTTTGGCTTCCTCTGCAGGGCTGTAGAGAGGTCACAAGGAGCTCGGAGGGCAGGGACAGGGCAGGGACAGGCGTGGGGCAGTGCCAGAGGAAGCTGCATGCAGACCTGCAGACCTCAGGGGAAGCAATCTCAGAGAAAGTGCCGCCTGTGGTCAGCGGTCTGCAGGCAAGGAGGAAGTGGCAGCTGCCCGGCCCTGGGCTGTGCCTCTTCCTCCACTGTTCGCAGCAAGAGTGAGTTCACTACAGCTGAAGCCTCGGTAGCCCACAGCCCTGCACATAGACACAGAGCCCTCCTGAAGGCCCGCACCTCGGTGTATCGTTTTCCTTAAAGGTAATCCATCACCTGGTGGTGTGAGCATCGGTCCCACAATTTCAGGGTCTCTCCTTGCTGACCCCAGGTCTTCAAGGTCCTCTGTCCATACTGAGCCAGGGGCGCTGAAGTTTCCCTAAACTTCCTCTCATCTGACCACCCAAGCCAGTTCTTACAGCTATCTGCGTACCGTACTGATGGAACGGACCACATTCCTGCCCATGGGACACACTTCCTGCTTTCAAGTCACTTAGCCTCAGGGACACGGAAAGATATTAGGGACACAGAAGGACCCGAAGCAATTAAATTGGTTCAGGCCCATCAGGCTGGCTGCAGCAGATGGACAGAGAGGAAGAAATGCAGAGCGGGTGGCATCTCCCAGGATAAGTCTCTGCCGCAGCAAGCTATGACCTGGGCCTTTTTGTGGCCACAAGAAGTTCACCCTCCGATCACAGGGACAGTGTCCAGCATAGGTTAGGGCAGACCAGACTCTCTGAGCACTCCAGGTGACTTTGCTTACCTGGCCTGCAGGAAATGAAAAGGAAAGAGAGAGGAACATGCCTGCGCTGGGTAGATGCGAGATGGGCAGGGAGAGGAGACAGTTTGAGGGCCTTTGGGAGGCAGTCCATCTTTGGCAACGCACGAGACTGGGTGCCTGAAGCAGCAGACCCTTACTACCTAGTGTTGGAAGCCAGAAGTCTACACGGTCAGAGGCTCCCTGGCAGGAGGACCATTCTTCTAGTCTCTGTCCCAGGGGCCTCTTGGAGCTGCACCCTCCCATGTCTGCCTCTCTGTCGCCTCTGCTCTGTGGAATCCATATGTCTCCTTCTCTTCTTGTGAAAACACTAATCTTTTGAGGTTGGGAGAAGCTGGTATCACCGAGACCCTATTTCCAAGCAAGTGCTGGCAGTCGCTGGCAGTGAGGGCTCCGATAATTCTTTTGAAGGGCATGATTCACCTCACGTTGGGGCGGGGGGTGTGGGGGGAGAGAACAGATGGGAATCGGCTGCTGATTGGAGGGTGGGAAGGAGAGGAGTCTCCGGTTCCAAGGCAGTGCTGAAACAGGGCATGCGGGGCCTGATGGGCCTAGCCAGCAACTATGGCTTCCTAGAGCTCCCGGCGAGGAAGGGGAAATTGGAAGAAAGCCTAGGCCAGCCTGCTGCAGCACAGGCCTTGGGGGCATGGAGCAGGAAGAGCTGAAGCCTTCTAAGCAGGCAGGGCAGACCCCCCAGAGAAGCATCTTCAGAACTAAGAATGCCCACTACGGCCTGGAATAGCAGGCTTGTGATCTTAGCTACCTGGGAGGCTGAGGCAGAAGGATGGCAAGTTTGAGGTCCATCTGGGAAGCTCGCTAGGACCTTATCTCAGAATAGAATGTGGCTTTCAAATGTAGACAGTCGAGGGCTTGTTGAGTCTCTGTAAGACCCTAGGTTCCATACCTGGTACTTCAAAGCGACAACGATTAAAAAACAAAATGCAAGGGTAAGAAAGAAGAAGAAATGTCAAGGGCAGTCTCTGAAGACTGACAGCTCCCAGCCTGGCCTGTCCTAAACTCATGGCCGGCCGATACTCATCACTTGGTCCACTCCTCGAGTGCTACCTAGCCTTACTACACTGGCTCCAGTCTCCAGATGATTCCTCCTATCCTGGTCCATGGCCTCTTCTAACCACATTCTCTCTTAAATCTGCTGCTTGTGAAACCCACGGCCCTCTGAGCCTACCCTCATTCCCAGTGCCCCCTAAATCCCAGTGCCCACGGACTTGGGCAGCACATGAAAGCAAGCGATCCTCCCCAGCCAGTTTATGCTGCTCAGCCTCTGCATGAGGTCCCCACAGCCTACCCCTGACCCTGGCTTTACCCCAGCACTGGTGTCTCAGTTTTGGAAACCTGCCCCACCTGCTTTTGGTACCCTTACATGGCTCCCACTAGACTCTCTTTAGCTCCATACATCTTAGGACCTGCTTGTTTTGTGCCTTGGCTGACCCCGAGTGGATGGCATGGCTGTTCCCATCCATTCTACCCAAGAGCCAAACAGAGGCAGCCTGCATCTTAAGAGAGGCCCTGAGTAGACCCTGCACCTAGGTCCAGGTTAAAGGCTGTAAGACAGTTGTGTGGGATACAAGAGGTGGGAACAGGGAGCTGTTGACACTGTTGGAGGAAAACCACAGCCGCTGTCTGCATATCCTGGCTGACTCTACTCCAAACAACCTTGCTCCAACTCCTTCTATTATGGGCTGGTCCCTGCCCATGGCAGAACTCCTTAGGAGTACCAGGAACAGTACCTAGGATGACTCTGGCAGGAGTTCACACCTACTTCAGTAGCACTCTGCCTCTCTTCACATGTCTTAATTGTATCTGTTAATTTTGTTGCAAAAACTAAATGAGAAAGCCGGACGGTGATGGCACACGCCTTTAATCCCAGTACTTGGGAGACAGAGCCAGGCAGATCTCTGTGAGTTCCAGGCCAGCCTGCTCTACAGCGTGAGATCCAGGACAGGCACCAAAACTACACAGAGAAACCTTGTCTTGAAAAACAAAACAAAACAAAAAACAACAACAACAAGACTAAATGAGACAGTACATGTGAATGTACCTAACACAGTTCCTAGCAGATATGATATGTATCTAAGGGAAACTACTGTCCTTGGAAGAAAAGGCAAACTTGTGGGAACCTATGCACCGGGGGTCCAGTTTATGGAGGCTTTCACTAACCTATGCACATACACAGGGTTTTTTGCCTATGTGGAAAATAGGCTTCTAAGATGACCTAAGAACTGGAATCATGGATACACAGATTGAGCCACTGGTTGTCTAAAGGGCTCCCCCTTTGCACAGATCTAAATCCCTTGTTGCTGCGCTCGTTCCCTCCAACCTAGGGCCCTCTTTGGTTCCCTTGACTCATTGTCTCCATTATATCAGGGTAGAAAAATGTACAGTGGGGAGGGAGTTCATGGTCACCATTGTTTATCCTCATGGCACTTAAATGTCACCCCTGCTACGTATGAAAGCCCGGCTGAGATGAGCGCTTAGAACAGGCAACATTTGGAGGAGTGGCCTCCCAGATGGTCTGCCACTCTGGGCTGGCAACTTCCAGTCTGGCTTCCTTTGCTGTTGTCACGGAGTTGCTGTTGCCATGGTATTTCTGTGTGCAAGAGAGACGATCATGCATCTTGTCAGCTTCTGGGACACTCATCCAGAGAACTTCAGAGGAGGGTAATGGGCAGACTGTCTGCAGATACTGGAGAGGAGGCTGCAGAGTGTGGGAGAGGGCCCTTCTGGGCTCCCATATCTTGTACAGAAGAGACTGGAGAAGAATGAGAAATGCCTAGGCCACCTCCAAACCAGGAGCGAGGAGGTGTGGTGCAAATCTGGGACAGGACAGTTGTAAAGCATGGTGAGGCCTCAGCAGCACAGGTCAGGGAGACAGAAGTCTGGGCCTCTCTGGTTGCAACACCAACCAGCTAGGCCCCCATGCAAACGTCCAGATGATGTATTTTGTTTCTTGTTGTTTTTTGGTTCTCAGATAAGGTTTTGATTTGTAGTCCAGGCTGGCTTTAAACTTACATCAGTCCTTCTTAATCTCATAGGTTCTGGGATTAAAGGGATGAGCCACCATGCCTAGCTCTAGATGACGTGTGTGTGCGTGTGTGCGCGCGTGTGCGTGTGCATGTGCGTGTGCGTGTGTGTGTGTGTGTGTGTGTGTGTGTGTACTCACACACACAAGCATATAAAGGTTGGTACAGATATGAGTGCACATGTGTGTGCACATATATTTGCATGCATGTGTGGAGGCCAAAGATGAACCTCATGTGCTGTTCTTCAAATGCTGTCCACTTTGTTTTTAAATATATATATAATATATATATTATATATATATATTATATATATATAATTTTACAATACCATTCAGTTCTACATATCAGCCACAGGTTCCCCTATTCTCCCCCCTCCCCCCCCCCCCCCTTACCCCTAGCCTACCCCCCATTCCCACCTCCTCCAGGACAAGTCCTCCCCCGAGGACTGCGATCAACCTGGTAGACTCAGTCCAGGCAGGTCCAGTCCCTTCCTCCCAGTCTGAGCCAAGTGTCCCTGCATAAGCTCCAGGTTTCAAACAGCCAACTCATGCAATGAGCACAGGACTTGGTCCCACTGCCTAGTTGCCTCCCAAACTCACTCACTGGTCTAGATAGCAAGTTCCTGGCCAGATGTGGTAGTTTGAGAAAAAATAACCCCCAAAGGGAGTGGCACTATTAGGAAGTGTGCCTTTGTTGGAGTAGGTATAGTCTACTAATGACACACTAGGAGGAAGTGTATCATTGTGGGAGTGGGCTTTGAGGTCTCATAAATGTTCAAGCCATTTCCAGTGACTCAGACTACTTCCTGTTGCCTGCAAGCCAAGATGTAGGATACTCAGCTACATAGTGTGACATGGTGCTGGATTCTCCAGCCAGCACCATGTCACACCATGACGATAATGGAATAAACCTCTGAAAATGTAAGCCAACCGCCCCAATTAAATGATTTTCCTTTATAAGAGTTGCTGTGGTCATGATGTCTCTTCACAGCAATAGAAACCCTAACTAAGACACCAAGGCTACATAGTGAGACCTGTTCCAAAAAATAAAACAAAAACCATAAATGATACTGTTGTCTAGGTTAGACCCCTTGTGATCTGTCTCTAGAAACACCACTGGCACACCCAGGTGTGTTGTATTAGTTACATCTGTCTGTACTGTAACAACTTGATGGAAACAATTTTATTTATTTGAGACAGGGTTTCTCCGTGTAGTTTTGGTACCTGTCCTGGACTTCGCTTTGTAGACCAGGCTGGCCTTGAACTTACAGAAACCTGCCTGGCTCTGCCTCCCAAGTGCTGGGATTAAAGGCGTGAGCTACTGCCACCCTGCTGATGGAAACACTTTAAGGGGAGGAATCACCAGTTGCTCGTGGTTTCAGAGGACTCGGTTCATGATTGGCTGGTGCTGGAACCTGAACATAATATCAAGGCTGTGAGTGCAGGCAGAGGAGGAAGCTGCTCACATCACAGTGGACAGGAAGCAGGGAGGAGCAGTACCACAGCCAGAGCAAGGCATTGCCCCAAGGACATGGCCCAGATGACCTGCTTCCTCTAGCCAGGACTTGCTTTTCACAGTACCACACTTTTCAATAGTCTATGCAAAGTTTGAAGCCCGGGCTGAAGAGATGAGTCAGCAGGTAAGACCACTCGATATGCAAGCATGAGGACCTGCGTTCAGATCCCTAGCATCCATATTAAAAGACAGGCATGGCTGCATATGCCTCGAACCCCAGTACTGTGGTGGGTGGGTGGGGTGGGCAGGACAGGGAGATGGCTGGGACTTGCTGGCTGTCAGATGAGTTCCAGGATTGGTAAAAGACCCTGTCTCAAGGGAATAAGGTAGAGAGTAATAGAATGGGACACAATGTTCTCTGGTCTCCATGTGTGATACCCATACATACCCATTCACATATACACCACACACACACACATCACATCACATCACATCTCTCTCTCTCTCACATACACACATCACATCTCTCTCACACACTCAAACACACCATCATCATCATCTCTCATACACACACACACACACACACACACACACACACACACACACACACTTTTTTTTCTGAACAAGTTTGAAACCATCAGTAGATTACACCAGAGCGCCCCCATGATCTAGGACTGCTCCCATGGACACACCCCGAAGCACATTCTACTTACTTCTCTCTCCAGTGTCTCAATCTTACCAAGACGACAATCGTGGTTAACCATCACAACCTCCCAGAAACTGACGAAAGGAAACAGTGAGTTCAAACCACCCCACGTAAGGGTGGGATGGGCGTAGAGGAGGAAGCCGAGAGGAGAGGAGCGGGATGGAAGACATGGGGGGGAGAAGGTTGCTCTCTGTGACGCCTCCTGGCTGTGCAGACCCTGCAGGCAGAGCTGCGGGGGGGGGCCTGTGCCTCCCTGGGGCTTGGTGGAGACTGCAAACTGCCTCCGGGCAGTCTCTTGGGAGAACTTCCTTGTGTGGTCATCTGCCTGTCTCTTTGGGTTGTTATAGCCTCTAAGCTTTTCTCATCTTGACAACCATCACAGCAGCAGAAGACAGCACCTAGGGAAACAGCATTGGTGGCTCTCTTTGCTCCCACCCCCGACTCAAAGCACGCTGCCCATCTCCCTTCAGCAGCAGAACGTGACCTGGCAGGAGACAGCCTTGCCCTGGGCTTGGGGAGCAGCAGCGGATCCCAACCCTGGATGGAGTTTTCTCCTTAAATACAAGCAGGAATCTTGGCTGGAGAGTCTCCCTTGTTTCACGTGTGCCGTCCTCTGTCTGTAAATTAAACCCAACAAGACCCCAGGGGACCCTAACTAGTACACCTGATGGGCAAGTGGGAGGGCGACCTCTCTATAAACCTCTGATTGTACCCCGGTTTGTCGCCTCCACTCAGTGCTGGTGACTAGAAGGCTCATCGTTGTCGTCGTTGGCGGCGGCGGCGGCGGCGGGGTGGCTGTTTGATCTGTGGGCAAAGCATCCACTCCATAGTCAGGGTTTTCAGGAGTGAAAGACAAGCGCTTGTAGCCTTGACTCAGCTCGAATGTGTCGATCTCTTCCCTGTCTTGTAGTTCATCGTCTCCATTTGTCTGGAGTCACAGTGATGGTCTTACTGTGTACAGGTTCTATGGCAAATGCTGGGAAGAGTTTAAGGGATGGGAAAGTGCCCACGTTTGGATGACTTCCTCACTGCAGCCTCTTGCGGCACCACGACAGGGGCACGTTTTTAAGAACTGTGTCACAGGAGGATGGGGAGGATGGTTCAGTTGGTAACGGGCTCACTTCGCAAGCAGGACCTGAGTTTGAGTCCTGGCACCCACGTCAAAAGCCACGTGCAGCAGTGTGCATGTGTAATCCCAGTACTTCAGGGGAGAAGCCAGGAGGATGCTGGGGCTCACTGGCCAGCCCTGCTATCTGAATCCATGGGGTCCAGGTCCATGGAGAGACCCTGTCTCAATAAATAAGGTGGAGCACAGTTGAGATTGAGGAAGACACTTACCGTCAACCTATAGCATCCCCTTGGACAAACACACATGCGCACACACACAAAACATGTATGTATACACTTATAGCCAGGTGTGGTGGTGAACCCTTGTAATCCTGGTGCCACGAGAGAGGGACAGAAGGATCCCTAGGACTTGCTGGTCAGCCAGCCCATCCTAATCTGCAAACTCCAGGTGGCAGTGAGACACTCTGTCTGAAAAAATAAAAATAAAACAAGGAGCTGGGCGTAGAGTCACACATCTCTAACCCTAGCACTCAGGGGCAGAGGCAGGCAGATCTCTGAGTTCAAGGCTGGCCTGGTCTACAGAGTGAGTTCCAGGACAGTCATAGCTACCTAGTGAGACTCTGTCTCAAACACAAACAAACAAACAAATGAAATAAAATAAGGTAGAAGGTTATTTTGAGAAACTACATCCAAGGTTGACCTCTGGTTCCTACCCAGGTGTACACCCAGATGCATACAAACAAAGATGACAGCTTTATTTCCAAGCTCATGTCCACCCTGTGCGGGGGGGGGGGGGGGGGGGGAACCCCAGCAAGGCACATAGCTACCAGTGGCAAAGAGACTTTGGAGTTGCAAGTGTGTCTGCCTGGGCTCATTGCTGCCCTGTACAAAACAAGAGGACAAATTCTGGGGGTCGGGGGTCGGGGGGGGGGGGACCCTTTAGTTTCAGCTAACCTATGTATGAAAATAATTGTCCTCTGACCTATGGAGCTCAGCGCCATAAAGCCACTCACTTGCCTGGGTAACTGACCAACAAAGGCATGAATCCAAACTGGGAAGGGAATTTGAGAGGTTCCAGAGCCCTTATACTTTGTGCCCTAGGAATTTGAACAACAAAACCACGAACCACATGCATATCAACACATGTAAGGCTACATGTTTTTTAGATCACGGGTCTCTGACCTCATTGAGGAGGTTGTAGTTCAAGACGAGAGCCCTCAGCCTCCTGCCACCATGCCTTTGTTCAGCCGTCGTGGATGCTAGCTAGCCCTCTGGAACCATGAGCTCAAATAAACTTTGTTCTTTAAGTTGACCCAGGTGTTTTTATTACAATAGGAAAGGAACTAATCCAAAGGGTGTGTCTTAGAGTGGCAATGGCAGCTTCTTTTTCTTCCTCTTCCTCCTCCTCACTCTGTCTCCCTCTCTGTCTCTCTCTGTGTCTCTGTCTCGTTCTCTCCCTGTCTCTCTCTGTGTGCATCTTTCTCTCTTTTCCCTCCTCCCTGACTGCCACGCAGTGAGCATCTATCTTTCTTCTCCACCATGATGCTTTTGCTTCCTCACAGCCCTGAGTGACAGGACTGAGTGACCTAAGTGACTCAGTGACAGAGATCGGAAACCTCCAAAACCATGAGCTGAAAGATGTCTTTCCCCTTGACGCTGACCTTCCCAGGTAGTTTGTCACAGTGATGAGCAACTGACCGAAGTAGACACAATACTCACAAACCTGTCCTTACAGGGTGCAGTCCCAGAGAACAGTTCAGCATCTGCTGCCGATCTCCAGTCCTTTCAAGCCCTCTCCCACACCTGTCACTCACCACAAACGTGACACTGAGTTCATAAAAGGGTTGGTGAAAGTCCTTGGTTTTTCCCAATCTCTCACGGACCTTTGTCCTGGATGGCTCTTGTGTGACTCCCCCAAGCATCCCTACTTCTTTTCTCTCTTCCCCTTTACTCGTTCACGCAGCTGTGAGACCTTAAGGAACCCACCTGGGCATAGAATCCGCCTTGAAGAATGAAGAAGAGAGAACAAGGGATCAGGTTAGAATTCTTCATGTGCCAAGGGGGAGGGCGGGCAGCTGGGATTACTTGAATAATTTTGACCTTATAGTTACATATATATTTTTATATCTGAATGTATGTTGCAGTGTAATTCACTGTGAAAACTTTCTGGGCAGTTTCTGTTACTGTCTTGAAGCCATAATAGATGCTGTCCAGGAATGAAGTACTTCTCATTTAGCACTTTGGCCCCGATAAATGCATGAATATGAACTGAATATCTAATCTGGTTGGCTGGCTCCTTCACAGTGTTCTGGCTTTGTTCAGAGTCCTTCCCCTGACTCCTTATGCCACCTGTAAGCCCTCACTATTACAAGGCTGTATTTTTACCTTCTGTTGGTATATTGATTTGATTTGTGAATACTGGGGATTGAACCCAAGGACTTGCATACTCCCGGCAAATGCCTTACCACTGTGCTCTATTTCCAGACTCTATTTTTGCTTCCCTATATTGCTTTCTAGTGTCCGAACTGACCTACATAATCTACAGTTCTATGTAAGTGATACACACATATCTGTAGCAAGCTCTGCTCCTGCTCCATGTTGCCACCAATACCATTGAATGCATGCATCAGTGAACTGGTTTGCTCTGAAGTTGCGGAAGTGATCCACAGAAGGTCAGTTGGAGAGATCCAGCTCGGCTTTCTAGAGGGCACAGAGGCAGGGATCCTGGAAGCAGCTGGATGTGCTGCACCCAGTGAGTCCCCGCGTAGAGTTCTACCAGCCCATTATGTGGGGGAAGCTGAGTTGTCTGGGCCACTGAGCTGGTCAGCCTCGGTGGTGCCAGGGCAGTGTCACAGCCCTCACGAGTCGCAGGGATGAGAGAGCCACAGAGGGCAGGGGAGGCTGGTGGTAGTCATGGGATGGAACGTGCCTGAGAGAAAGGAGCTGGGAGGTGAGTCGGGGCTGGCCCTCCCCTGTCTACTCCTTGCCCTTGCTCCAGGCCTTGTCTCTCTTTAGAACTCTGTGTTTATTGGTTCCGAGGACCAGGGCACAGCACCTACAACCAGGAATGTCATAGGACAGAGCCTCAGGGCCTGGTTATCCATGGCTTCTAGCCCCCATGGGCAACCGAGCTCATGGTGACTCAAAGTCTTTATGACTCCTTCCAGCTCCTCTTCCTCTTTGCTTCTGTTCCTGCTGTCAGCGGGCTTGGGGCTGACTCACAGCTGGGCTCCCCACCCCTCCTGCTGACTCATGCCTTCCTCCAGCTGACTTCTTTATCTCCCTTGTGGCAGCCTGGCTTCTCCTGGCTTGGGGCTGGCTTTCCTTGCTTTCCTTGCATCCTTGTATTTCCACATCACCCTCCAGACTCTCTCATTGTCTCCCAGTGCAAATGCCCTGCGTCAGAACAGCTGCTGACCAGCCAGCTGCCTAGGCAGCTTCCCAAGAAGAGTCAGGCCTTTGGCTGCCATTAGCCCACAGGCTCGAGTCCCAGCATGAGCTGCCTCCCTCCTTGACTCTTATCAGCTGGGGCTTCAGGGAACTTCAGGGCCATCATGCTGGAGGACCACCTAAGACAGCGCACCTCAGAAGGAAGGAGCGAGCGTGCAGACAACGTGATGGGCGTGTCTGGCAACGCCCTCCATCTGCCCAGTGCTACACAGGTGGCACCCTGGCCTGCCTGTGTTCCTGGTATACTCTGTCATCTCCACTCAGGTGCCACCGTCTTGGAAGGGTCCTCTCAGAGCCACAAATGCCACGTCTCCCTCCTCAGAGCCACTAACTCCCTTTGTCTCACTTGCCCGAGAGCCTCTGACGACACTTTTGCCTTACAGGTCTTTGTAGGGTAGAAGAGTAATTTAGGTCCATAACCCATGCACCCTTTACATGACCCTTTTGTAGCAAAAGGAATGTTGATGGAATGGTTTGCTGTAGAACACCGCCTGCAGGCAGAACAGCCATTACCAGCTTAGAAAAGTCGTGGTTGCTTTAAACCAGTTGGAATCTATTGCTGGTCCCTTATAGAAGGGAGTGGGAGGGTCCTTAGACCCTCACCTGAAAGTCTAGCCACTCTCCACCTCTTGGGCTCCTCTCCCCACTCTACACAATCCTGCTCCGGCCACACTGTGCCCTCAGGAGATGAAAAGTTGCTGAAAGAGGGACACTCCATCTGTGTAGCTCTGGGGAAGTAGTGTGCTAGGGTGAATATCTCAGTGATGCAGCTGTTTGGGCGTTGAATATGCTCCTGTAAGTAAGCTCAATAAACCCATCGGCTCATCAGGGATGTATCCAGACACACTGGGACCTAGATCAGAGTCGGGGTATCTGTGATGCCAGGTACAGCTGCAGAGAGCCACTGTTGTGCCCTACCCTAAACACTATAAGGTATTAGTTCCACTCTCTGTCCAGGCCAGGCTAGGGGAGAGTAAGAACAAGGCTAGAGCCTGGCGCATGGAGCAAGGTTAGATACAGCCCAAGGACCCTGGAGGTAGGGAGACTGGGGTAGTGGGGAGATGGGAGGAGGTCGTCAGGGACCCATGTAGAGCTGAGGGTCTGAAGTTCTAGCATGTGCAGTCAGACAGACTGGAAGATAAAAGCATGAACAATTTCAAGAAAGGGCCTGGGGAACTTGCAGTCACTGTCATGATTCCCATCTCTGCTTCTAAGCCCAAGGCCT